CTGCTGGTCCAGCAGGTGCACCACGTAATAGCTTAGGACCACCTAGCTGGCTGGTCGTCTGTAGGCAGTGAATAGACAAGAGGAATACTCTCATAGCTACGATACCCGGGGCCCAAAGTGCCCATCCAGGGGCGTGGGACTGAGTATACTAGGGACCTAAAGTGCCCATCCTGGGGCGTAGGACCTGGCATAAAGTAGGCTATGAGATGAAAGGGTATAGGACATGAGGAGACAAGTGGAGGAGGACATATGGCCGATAAAGTATAGCTTGGGTTAGGGTTGAAGGGGGTCGGTCTCCTGATTAGGGGGGGTAAAGGGGATAAGACTCTACACCCACCTAAGGGGGGATCGGCCTAAGAGAGGATCTACTAAGTCAAGGGAGGGAGGACAAGACTGTTTAGAGTGTACCCAAAATAACACCCAGTTGGAGGTTGGATCTGTAGGGACAGTAATCTGATCTCTAGTGGCAAGCTGGTAGGTGCGGGTGGGACACGGCTTGCGATAGGTAGGGGCCTTTAAGAAAAAAAAAGCCTCTATAAGGACCCGTCTAAGGATGACCCAGAAAGCTAAGGGCTGTGGTTCATCTCGAACCTCGAGTGGCTGAACCCCGAAGAACATCCCCGTGCCTGAGGCCGTGCCATAACAACAACCTGGGCGTTTTTTTAAGAAAAAAAAAAAAAAAAAAAAAAAAAAAAAAAAAGAAACTGCGAATGGCCCCTAGCTCAGTTGGTCCAGCGCTGGTCGGTAATGCACCTTTGTGGCTTAGGGTGTGGGTTCAAATCTTTGAGCCTGCACTCTCTGGTGCGCCGAATTGATATTGGTATTCTGTATTTTCACCATTGTGGCTTAGGGTGTGGGTTCGAATCTTCGAGCCTGCACTCTGGAGTGATACACTGAATATTTGATATTATGAATTTTCAGATTATGAATTTTCAGCGCTGAGCTTAGGGTCATTCGCACACTGCGTCTGCAGTGTAGCCCAGATGGATTGGGTGCCTGTGTGCATTCTCCCACAGGTTGCAGGTTCGAGCGTTGCCAGATGGGGCACCTGCACTTTGCAGGAAGACCTCGAAATATACCTGTTTTTCGGAGACGGAGGTTGCAGGTTCGATCCCTGCCATGCCTCAGTGGGTGCTTTGGGGCTGATTGCCGGTTCCCTGGTCTTGCCTTGATAGATGGTGCACGGTCTGCTGGCAGGGGTTGAGTCCGCTGTCTTGTGCCAGGATGATTGGGGACTGATTGTCGGTTCTCTGTTCCACCGGTTCCCTCACTGAGCCTAGATGGATGGTGCTTGCTCCGCTGGTGTGGCCTGGGGCCGTTGTCTTGTGCCAATGATAAGGTTGCAACAGGTATCGCTCTGAAGCATCTGCTGTTGGTTGGCTAGGGGGTTGGGTCTGTGCTTCCTCTCTGCGACCCAGCACTTGGGCTACAATGCTTTTGCTTACTAGGGTCAGGTACCCCTTGGGGGAATGGCCCAATAAATTGCACCCGTTGGGGGTAGGCAGTTCTTCATGAGAACGAAAGGGCTGCTCGCAGCACCTCAGGGAGACTAAGGGTGACACCTGTGCGTCTGCGTACCGTAAAGGTCTCCCGGTGCGGGATGCTCTTAGCCATTGACCTTGGGGTGAGGTGGGTTGGTACCTCCGGTCTTGAGCTGAAATGCCAATTGCCCTACCTCAAACATGTCCAATTTTTATATATATATAATAAAAAAAAAGAAACTGCGAATGGCTCATTAAATAAGTTATCATTT